AACTTTGTCCGAGTTCTCCAAGTTCAGCTGATCTTCCAGGAAATCAACCAAAGACTTCAACAATGGTACGCCTTGGTATATGTGTCACAATCTTGATACCATTGTGTGTTTCTGCATATTACGTAATAGCTCAAGCACCTAAAATATATTTACCAGGAAAAGCATAAATTAAATTGAATCCATCAGAGTCACCAACCGGTTATGTTTCGGCTGCCAACAATCTTATTAAGAAAACTTTCGCAGGAGTGTATACGGGCAGGAAGTGGGCCAAAGGCTCTTATACAACTACAGTAAATCCGACTTTAACAGGTTCTAAAAACGCTGTTGTAAAGGGTGTGAGAACTGGCTGGAATTGGACTGCATCCAAAACGGGTCCATATCTAGTCCTCGCTGAAGAATATCTTTAACGCAGTTTGCGACAGGTTAGTACCGCCGAAGTAATTAAGAAGCGTACATATCGAGTTCTAGGGGCGAAACCAATTTTTACAGAAACAATCGGAAAAAATAAATTTTAAGAAATATAACTTTGTTGTTTTTAATTTTTATACCCTTGCAGAGGGGACCAAAATTATGGTCAGAAGTTTGTAACGCAGTGAAGGAGACGTTTCCGACCCTATAAAGTATATATATTCTTGATCAGGATCAATAGGGGAGTCGATATAGCCATGTCCGTCTGTCCGTCCGCGTCTGCAATACCGTTTGCGAGCTCAGTTTAAAAGCTAGCGATCTGAAACTTTCACAGTCGTCCAAAACATGGTACGCAGATCATGTTAAAAACGCCCCGATCGTCGATATCCTATAGCTCCCATAGGAACAGATATATCTTGCAAGAATGATGATATTTCGCACAGTGTAAAAGATATTGACATGAATCTTTTTTTTTATGCATACCTTGATCAGGATAAAAGCGCGTGCCGATCTGACGTCTATATCCTATAGCTCCCATAGGAACAATAGAGTGAAATCGGTTAAAATTTAATTTTAAGGATATTTCGTGCAGTGTGTTAATAAATTTAAATTAAATTAAAAATAAATTTTTCAAGTCTTATTTATTTACGCATATCTTGATCAGGGTAAAAGCGCTTGCCTATCGGACGTCTATATCTTATAGTTTTTGTACAAAAAATTGTTAAAGTCTGCGGAAATATCCCTTTTTTCTATTTTTATGTGACATTTTTGCAGTATAAAAGCATTTGACATGAAACTATGCAAATCTAGTTTATTTATGCATACCTTATTCGTTTCGCTACTTTTTCAATTTGAGCCTGCAAGGGTATTAAAACTTCGGCTTGCCGAAGTTAGCTTCCGTCCTCGTTATTGGAAATATTGCGCTCCCAAATTTTTGAGTCCAGCAAAGCCCACAAATTCTCAATAACATTAAAATCGGGTGACTGAGCTGGCGATTTCATTATATGGAGACAATTATAACCCAGCCAATATTGAACAATACCGGACTTATGCTTTGGGTCATTGTCTTGATAGAACCAAAAACCCTGTATTATTCTCAATTTCTCAGCACTTTGGAGTAAATTATCCTTAAGGATATAAGGATAAACATTTTTATTCATTGTGCTTTCAATAAATTTTAGGTTTCCGACTCCTGCTGCGGACTTACAGGCCCAAACCATAACGTGTCCACCGTCATGCTTAACGGTGGGTTTTAGCTGTTTGTCCTGCAGCTCTGTATTGGCTTTATGGCGTACCTAAGAATGCCCACCGACCCAAAAATTTTACGTAATTTTCGCTGATGAGTCAAAATTTAATATTTTTGGGTCGAAGGACGTTCTTAGAAAGAGACAGAAAGCAAACTCTTAAAAGCTACAGTCAAGCATGGCGGGGGTCATGTTATGGTTTGGGCTTGTATGGCAGCATCTGGCGGGGCAACCTCGTTTTTTTTAAGTTATCATGGATGGCCAAGATTTTAAAGGAAAACCTGCTCCAGACTGCTGAAAAACTGGGCATACACGATCGATTTCGATTTTAGCAGGACAGCGATCCAAAACAAATAAATTTTTACAAAATTACAGAAAATCTCGAAATTTTGGGAAATTAGGAAAATTAACTCTATGCTCATTTCAGCTAAGAATTAAAAATTATCGGAAAGCCGGAAAAGTAGGAAAACCTGAAAAATCGAAAATATACTCATTTTATTAGAGAATTCACTAGGGACGTGATTCGATGATCGAAAAATCGCTAAAAATAATGGGAAATCCGGAAAAGTAGGAAAACCTGAAAAAATATAGATGCTACGATTATAGCTTTAAAAAAATCTACATTTTTATTTTTGATTATAGATTTGTCTTGAAAATGGGTGCGGATGATTCAAATGATGCTCAAAAGAAAAAGAAAAAACTCAATAGATGACTCCACTTGTGAGGATGAAGTAGAAAAAAGAAAACAAAAAAGAAAAGAATATAAGAATATATGTAATAAAGGGTGGACCACGAAAGATTTGCGTTTTAAAATCGCTATAAAAAACAACGAGCCCCATTTCCACCTCGGTGGTTATGTTAATAAGCAAAACTGTCGCATTTGGGGTTCAGAAAATCCACACGTCGTTTTGGAGAAGCCAATGCATCCCCAACGAGTGACTGTTTGGTGCGGTATGTGGTCGTGCGGCATCATTGGGCCGTTTTTCTTTGACGACATATGGTTCCAGCAGGACGGCGCTACGTGCCACACGGCCAACGTCACAATCGAGCTTTTGCGCGGTACGTTCGAAAATCGCATAATCAGACGAAACGGCGATGTCAACTGGCCGTCTAGCAGCTGCGATTTGACCCCGTTGGACTATTTTTGTGGGGTGCCGTCAAGGATAAGTGTTACGCCAACCACCCAGAGACAATTGACGACCTAAAGCACGATATTGAAGTCGCCATCAGGGCCATTGAGGGCCATCCCATCGAAAATGTGTTTAACGAGGACGGAAGCTAACTTCGGCAAGCCGAAGTTTTAAAACCCTTGCAGACTGCCGAAATTGCTAAAACTGAAAAAGTAGTGAAAGGAATAAGGTATACATAAATAAACTAGATTTGCATCGTTTAATGTCAATTGCTTTTATACTGCAAAAATGTCATAAAAAAAATAGAAAAAAAAGGGATACTTTTGCAGCATTTTACTATTTTTCCTACGGAAGCTATAAGAAATAGACGTCCGATCGGCAAGCGCTTTTACCCTAATCAAGCGTAAATAAATAAGACTTGGAAAAATGTATGTCAGTAGCTTACACACTACGCGAAAAATTCAGAAAATCATCAAATTTGGACCGATTTCACCCTGTTGTTCCTATGGGAGCTGTAGGATATAGACGTCCGATCGTCACGTGCTTTTACCCTAATCAAGGTATGCATAAAAAAATACGATTTGGAAAGATTCATGTCAATAGCTCTTACACTGCGCGAAATATCATCAATTCTTGCTAGATATATCCGATTGTTCCTATGGGAGCTATAGGATATAGACGTCCGATCGGGGCGATTTTCAAACTTGACCTGCGTACACATGTTTTAGGACGAGTGTGAAAGTTTCAGATCGCTAGCTTTTAAACTGAGCTCGCAAACGGTATTGAAACAGACGGACAGACGGACAGACGGACATTGCTATATCGACTCCCCTATTGATCCTGATCAAGAATATATATACTTTATGGGGTCGGAAACGTCTCCTTCACTGTGTTACAAACTTTTGAGCAAAATTATAATACCCTCTGCAAGGGTTTAAAAATTGGGTCGACCGAATGGGCTACTGTGAAGCCAGCCGAGGAAGCCATATGAACGAAGTGGTGTTTCACACATAAACCGCAATGTTGAGGCCATCCAATAAAAAATTTTGAAAAAAAAAATAAAAAAAAATTTGAATATTAAGATTTTTTTTCAGTGATTTTAAAACTTTTTAAAATTGGTTTTTATTAGATTTTGTATTTAGATTTTTGTCATTCAGAAATTGCCAACGAACATGTAAAAACATAAACTTCTTAAGTATATAATAAGAATTAGCGAATGTATCATAAAAGAAATCAGAGGCGCTTTTATTAAAATTAAAACAAATAAAAACGGCCCATACATCCATATTTGCGTATGTTCTATGTATATAAAGTTGGTTGCACAATATACATTTATATATATAATGTACATATAACGTATTACATACTTTTATAATTTTGGATATTTAGTAAAATACAATATTTAAATTTAATTATTCCTTTAAAGAAACCAAAAGTGATGAGGAAATTGAGGTAAACTACGACTCTGTCAAACGACCTCTACAAAGAATAAGGCAGCCATTCTTGCCAAAGTCTCCAACAACCTCAGGGAGCGTTCGCTTAATATTTGATGATGAAAACGTCATGAGCCTATTTGGTATGACCAAAGGAAATTCTCCAAAACGCTTTTTCAAAAAAGGTATACATATCGGGCCAAATTGGATCAATATATCATATAGCTTTTATAGAACAATAGGGGAAATAAATAATACTGTTTCATTTTTATTAAAATCGTATTTTTTTATATGCATAATTATGTATCTAATTATTATTTTGGGGTAGATTTGTTGGTACAGAACTGTTGTAAGAAATGAACTGACTTTTCCCTAACATTAAACCTTTATTTCCGTGGTCTTAACTACTAGTTAGCTTATGGTCAATTCAATCAATCCAATATCTTTAAAGCCGCTTTCTTAACTGAGAGTTAAATAATAACTGGATGCTATTAGCGAACAAATAATTTTGAAATCTTCAGAATCCATGACCTTTGGTTTTTTTTTGGAAAAAACAGCAAACACTTGACCAAGAAGTTCTTCATTTTATATGTATTATAAATACAGCTAATCGCATGAACTAAATGAAGCACTTTCAAAATTTTTTTTATTTTAAAATTGTGAAAAACCGAGAAATTAGCCCTTAACATTCCAAATTGATAAATATGATATATTAAATAAGACAAAAACTAGACGACGAGACGAGAGTACCCTTAATAAATATTTACTGTGATTGGCAAAAAGAATAACATCTGTTTTAACTTAACTAACAGATAGAAACTTAACTGTGGGGTGTAATACAAAGTCAAGACGAAATTTTGTTAGTTTACCGAAAATCTAGACAACATAGAGCAAATAACTATTACTTAATGTACATCTACCACATAAGTTAGCCGGCAGTTAAAGTATACGACAGCCGTTTTCTGTTTTCCAACATAAACACATATGTACATACATATGTAGTTGGATCTTGTCAAGTGAATTATTTATGTAGTTTGATCAGCAACAGTGAAAATGAAAAGCCAGAGAAACAAATTTAAGCGGGGTCAAAATTTTAGCACGGACGAAGAGTTTTTGCTCATCACTTTAGCGGCCGAGCAGAGAAAGATCTTCGAAAACAAAAGATGTGATTCTGTGACCTGGAAAGAAAAGGAGTTAGCGTGGGAAAATTTGGCAGCAACCTATTCGATGAAGTCTGGGATACAGCGCTCCGGTCACAGCTTAAGAGCCAAGTACGAAAGTTTAAAAAAAAAACTTAGTGCTGGGCTTCCGCAATGGCAGCCCCCCACAACATCCGTTTCCGAAAAACTAAAAGCCATACTTGGAGATGATGATACGGGTGGCGAAAACTCCGACAGTGATTGTAAGTCTAAATCATTTATTGTTCTAAAAACAACGCCTTCAATTGCCTTCCAGATGTTAAGACTGATCCGCAGTCAGAGGGTCCTTCAGGATCGTTTGTGGATATAATCGATTTCATTGAGGAAAACTCAAGTGAAAATGTTGCTTCCAAATCTAGTATTCCGACACCCTTTGAGGCGACATTGGTTGCACCACCTAGAAGTCCGTCTGGAAGGAGTGTACCCAAAAAAAATGACATTGGCTATCTAATTCTAGAGGAAAAGTTACGTTTGATCAGGACTCAGCGTGCTTTCTACGAACAGGAAAACAATCGAGCACAGGAAAAGCACCTGGAAGAAATGCAAACTTTAAGTGCGAAACGCGAGCTCCTTTGTTTAGAAATAGCTGAAAAAAAACGAAATCTTAATGTAAGCCACGAAAATTAAATGTATATGTGTGTTTTTCTTAATTAATATTTTGCTTTTTCTTTGCAGGACTCTCCAAAGGATTGATGCCCTGTAATTTTTACTTACATTAAGGTTACATATTACAGTTAATAAGTTATTATAAAAGTTGTGTCAGAATATTTTGTATTATCTTTCGAAATACTTATTAATTAAATCGTTTCTGTGAAACCCATCGGAGACATCCACTATTGCATCGACTTCCTCGCCATCCTCAAACGACTCAGTGGCCAAATCCTCATCCATAGGGGGAAGTGGGTCATTTTTTTGGATTGCTATGTTGTGGAGAACCGCACATGCAACTATGACAACTTTCGCAGTATCAATGTTGATGCGCAATCCGTAAGACAGAACCGGAAACCGTTGTTTCCAAGCCTCAAAGCATCTATAAACGATTTTAACAGTGCCGATCTGGGATTCATTGTAAAGCATTTCTGCATCTGTAGTGGGTCTTTTAATAGGGGTCATCATATATTTGCTTAGTGTGTAGCCATTGCCCAAAAGGAAATTATTTTCAAATTCACCGCTTTCCCACCGATCTTTCAGTCTACTGCGGTTGAAGATAGTGCTATTAGTGGTTGAGCCTGGCCATCTAGCCACCAAATCTTGGATAACCAACTGCGCATTAGAAACGGCCTGGATATTCAACGAGAAGTGACCTTTCCGATTGCGATATGCTTCATCTTGGCTCTGCCCTGGGGATCTTATCCGAATATGTGTGCAGCCAATGGCCCCCATCACATTAGGAAATTTCGATATCTTTTGGAACTCCTCTACGACTGATTCGGTTTCTCCAAACTTGATGTAGTCCCTGGACATTGCCGCAATGTTAAAGGAAACCTCTTTTACCGCTCGACAAGCGGAAGATGTGCTCACTTTGCAAAAGTCTCCGACGGCCACTAAAAAGTTTCCACAGGCATAAAATCGTAGGGCTAACAACAGTTTGTCCTCGGGACTGAGAGCGTAGTTCCTGGACAGATTAGTAGCATTAAAAGATGCTTCTTTCCACGATAAAATGTTACAAACCTGGATGTTAGGTGCTCCACCTTCCTTCCTATTTTTTGTAAGAGCATTAAGCAAGTAGCTTTCGAAATTCGGAATTTATTTATAAACTCAACTTCCTCCATTTCATCCAAAAAGTTGGGCCTGGTTTGGTATACTCTGGGCTTACGAGATCTTACATCTAACTCTTCATCAGAGTCCTCGAGTGAGTTAAGGTAAATAGCGCGGCTCAAAGTCATTTTGTTTACATTGGGATAATAAACACCGAAAACAGTCTGCCAAATACGTATTTACTTTTATGAGAATGGCTAAAATGCTGTCAGCTGTTTTAAAATATTCAACAGGTAGTACCTACCAATATATATATTTGTATCTGCAATATACTCAAGATATTTTGCCTGCATTTATAATCATAATATAATCTTGGTTTATAATTCTGAAACATCTAAAAGTTATTTTCATTAAATTCATTGGAGGGATTCAATAACTTTTTATGATTTGTTTTCGTCAATTGGGACTAACAAATCCCTTTATTCTCAATAAAGTCTATATTTAAGTCTTTATACTTTAGGTAGTAGCTTAAAGTGGAGGAGAAGGACTGTTCCTTTACCCTACATATTCTTAATAGCATAAGGATACAAAATAAGCAGAAAAACGTGATTTCACCAGTAGAAGCTTTACTGTAGCCCAAATCAGAGGTATTTTATACTTCAACGGGCACACTGCCCACACAATGTTCGAATCTTTTCACATGTTTATATTTACAATTTCATTGTGCAATAAATTGACCGGTGATTGAGTGGAGTACGCGGACACGATGAGCGAGGGAAAGCAACAGAATCCGGGCGATGGCATTCGATCCATGCGAAGCACTGGGGTCTTTCGCCTGATCAACTTCGAGTTGTACACGAAACCGGTAATGACACAATTGAAACTAGCGATTGTAACGATTGCAGGGACAATATAACAGTCAATTACTTTGGCAGAACAAAATCATCATGGGCCTAGGACTGACAGCCGTTACCGGGGTCTTCGGATACATAGCCTACATGCGGTACAAATACGAAAGTCTGGGCTACTATGTGGCGGTCCAGGAAAACGGACAGGAAAAGTTCGTAAAGAAGAAATCGAATTGGGAGCAGTAAATCCACCTGGCGGAAGAGCGATATTGGTGGAAACATCTTTATTTACTCGGTAGCACAATTTGGTACATAAATTTGTTTTGTTTGGGAGTTACGGTTTGTTTTTGCCAAAAATAGATCAGAAATCACAATAGTAGAAAAATGTTTTTAACTAGAAACTTATTGCGGCAAATGGGGGCCGCAAAATGAGCGTACAACAGCAGGAAGGGGACGGACAGGAAATTAAAATGGAGTGGAGCTGAGAGGAGGAGGTGGTGTATCACAATCACAAGAGTAATCACTCCTCGCATCTGTATCCTTCTTTTCGGCGCCGTCGACGTCCTTATCGCCATCATCGCCCTCCTAGGCAGACAACTTGAGAGCCTTGAGCTCGTCCAGGTACCGTGCTTCCATCTTAATCTTGTTCAGTTGATTCAGCTCCAGGTTTTCGCCCTGGCTGCGACGCACCTTCAGCTTCTTGATGTCCGACAGCTTCTTGGCGACGCTACGAATCTTGCGGTCCTTCTCGCTTATGTTCTGGCCATTGGCCTGGCCCTGTCCCTGCAGATCTTGATGCTGATCGGTAGCATTATCCTGCTGGTATTTCGGTCTGGGAGTGGGCGGATGCCTGGGCTCCTCTCTGCCCACGAACTCGGACGGCTGTTGAGCACCCGGAGCACCTGGTTCAGCCAACTGAGCCGTGGCAGAATCCGCATCGCCGCCGTTTACTACGTTGACATCCTTCCTAGCGCCCCGGGGTTTGTTCTTGTTGTTTCTCTTGTTTCCATTTGCACCACCTGCAGGCGGAATAGAAATGCAAACAGCAATTAGCAAACACACAGCCGAGCCTACTTACGGCCGCGTCAATCCCTAATCCTAATTTTCATGTTAATACAGAATGTGTGTGGAAGGGGTGAATGGAGCTGAGAACTGCGTGAATCTTTGAATCTAATAGCGTTTGTGCTGGTAGGGCCGATAGCGCCGGTTGGGGCGGCTGGTCGAGGTCCCGGTAGCCGGTGGACCTTCGCGCCCATTGCCCACCACCAGCTGGCATTGGCCCTGCTCATTCCGCCGCATGATCGGATTGTCCAGGTCGTACTGCCTGTGCCAAAACTTCCGCGTCGTATTACCTGCTGCTGCTGCCGGGGCCAGTCCGGGAACACTCGGCTGGGGCAGATACTTTTCCGGATTCTTGCCCTCCTTCAGCAGCCGCAGATGGGGCGGTGTGTAGGCCTTCTTGCTGGCCTCTGGCTGGCTAGACTTGATGCCTTCGTGCTTGGCCTTGGTGATCTTGGGCTCGCTGAACGTCTTGTCCGCGAACTGTTGCCACTCGATGCCTAGCAGCTCCTGGCCCTGCGGCCACATGGTCTCATGGAGCAGGGCACCCGAGTAGTGGTACACCTTAAATCTGTAGGAGAAATACATTAATATTATTACGTCAACCTTTTGGATCCACTTACCCATTGCTGATGCGGAGCCTGGGCGCCGTGGTGGCCGTAACAAACCACTCCCCGTTGGGATGCCACTCGAAGACCGTGGTGTCGGCGCACTTTAGGTTCGCCAACCTCTCGCGTTTTGACACATCCCACACCTCGACGGCTCCGGGCAGATTGCCGAAGCCGGCGAGCACTATGAGGTTGCCGAACGGATTGAAGTAGGCGCAGTTGCGCGGTCCCTCGCCAAAGTCGAAGACCACATCGCACTTGAGGTTGTAGAGGGCCGCTTTGGAGGGCATGAACCCGTAGACGACCACAAACTCAGTTGCCTTGGGACTCCACTTGACGCAGTGCACCGGACCCTCCTTGGAAAGTGGCACGGAGCAGGTGTCGCCCTTGGTGGCCATGAAGTGCACCGCCTGGTTGCCGTAGTAGGAGGCGCCGCTCTTGTCCACCTCCGTGCTGGTCAGGAGCAGCAATCCGCTGCCACGCTTGTTCCACAGCATCTCGACGCGGTCCGCTTGGAAGAAACTCTTGCAGGCGACGGTCTGGTTCTGTCCCAGTGCCGGGTACTTGTACAGCTTGCACATTGATGGCGCGCCCTTGGCGCCCGGAGTGTAAAAGGCCAGGAAGGGCGGACAGTTGCCGGGGCCCAGCGACAGCATCCCCCCGCGACTTCCACCGATCTTGCGCGACGTGGAGGCGAATCCCTTGTCGGTGCCCTCGCCGAGGTCATAGAAGAGAGCCTCACCTCCGACGACCAGAGCGAAGATGGACTCATCTGCCGACCAGGAGGGCTGCCAGTCCGTCTGGTTCTTCTGGACGATGGCGAACACCTCGGCGCCGGTGGCCACCTCGTAGACGAGCAGGTTGGGCGACCCCTCCGGCCGGTCCTTGGTGATGGCATAGTGCTCCCAGGTGCACAGGTAGCTGCCACGTGGCGAGAACTGGAGGTAGAAGGCCTTGGGCCTGGGTAGGAGACACTTGACCGGCCAGCTGGCGGCGCTGTCCTGGCTCGCTTGGAGCACCTTGACCTCCTGGCCGTTGGAAAAGGCGAAATACCGGCCGTCGGAGCTGAAGCAGATCGAGCGGGAGCTCTTCGTCTCCTCGCGCGGCAGGTGGGGCTTGTGCTCATAGGGCTGCTTTGAGCCCGCCGAGGACCACAATTCCACGGCCACGCTAGAGCGAACTGTGGATGAGATTTAAGATTGGGTCTCGATTAGCAGGTGGAAACACGAGGTCGCACGGTTCTGGGCTTTTCCCGCTGCCACAGGCAGCAAGGTGGGGCTTTTGGTGCCTGACGAAGTCCCCATCATCTCGGGTACATTTTGGTCAGGATTATAGCGCGATTATACTCACTGGCAAGGGTAGGAACAACCAGATCCGCAGCTGCAGCCATTGTCTTCCAATCTCACACGCACACACACACAGGAACACGCTCGTCGATGTTGTTGTTTTTGCCGTCTGCCGTGTTCTGCTGCAGTCAGTGTTGGTCAACGGATTTGTGTGTTTGGGGTCACACACGGTTGCCGTGTACGCGGTGTATCGATGAACGATAGTCAACATGCATTGGCGCCACAACGACACGTTTAACAATCAACCAAACCAAACCGAACGTATTTAAAACTGCAACAAAATTTCTGCTCCACGTGAATTTAAAAACATCTTAGTACTAACAATTTTGGGACTGACACATCAGAGATTTGAGTGGCCAGACCGAGGGTGGGTTGATAGTCTATATTTCTTGTTTCTTTTTAGTTTTCAAGGGCTGAATCGTTTTAGTTTAAATAAAAAATGTCCTTTCGCTACAACGGTCCATGATTTACCGGTTTTTAAATATGATTAATTTGTGTGTTAGTTAAAATTGTATGCAATAATTTATTTTAATTTGTGGGCGAGACCAACCATTGATATAAGCTTGCGCTGCAAGCTCATCATAAGAGTTTGCATGTTCAACCCAGAGTCTCTAGCTACTATGATTACCGAGATCTAGACATACGAATAACGGTTATAATACCTTACAAATTTAGAACATTAAAAAAAAATATCCATGTAGGCTGTTATTAGATTCCTTAGTCATGGCAGTCTCGTCTGTTGCAACTCCTGTTTTAGGGTCAAAACAGTTTTAGAATACATCAGAAGTTTTCAGAAATCCCAACCGACAACTGCACATTAGTTAAAATATTGGTAAAAAATATATTTAGCTTCGGTTTATACAGCATTTCACACTCTTTATTCAACATATACTTGTATTAATAAAACTAAAGCTATGTAAGTACTTTTTGAACTAACCGATAGATTTGGCAACTAATTATACGAAAATACTTTAGTTTGCCAAAAGTATATCGCTATATACACATAGTCTGCTTTTAGATTTTATGCTTAAGCTGAAACATCTTCTAACATTACCAATAAAGGTCTTTAGTTCGTAAGCTGATTTAAACTTAATTAAGATTAGCAAAATCATATAACGCTCACATACTACAAATTATGAAAAGAAACGAAATTAATCTCATTTTAAAACTTAGATTAGGGACTTGAGGAAGTGGATATAACTTTGAAGTAAAATAATAGTTGTGCAGAAAATTAATAAACTAATAAAACTAGTTTTTAAAAGACGGTCCTACTATAAGTGAGCGGCATATGGTAACAGCAAAACTGGAATACTTGAACATATAACTTATTGATCACACTAGTTTCTGCTTTCAGGTAAGCTGAGCCTTCGTTTCCCTCCTCTTTAGCGGTAAAGCCGCACCTGCTGCTTGAGATCCTGGTCGCTGATGCGGTCCTGGAGATTCAATTCCACCTCCTGTTTGCGCAGAAGATCGAAAATGGCCGCCAGCTGCTCTCGCTCTATTCGGCGCTCCTCCTCGATCTGGCTGGGAGTCAGGGTCTTCTCCATCTTGTGATGCAGTCTCTTGGCCTTGAACTGGCCCATCAGGTGGTTGTAATTGTGGCCTGGTTCCTGTTCCTCGAAGAACTCAACTTCGCTTTCGGTGGAGTTCTCCTCGTAGGCTTCATCGTCATCGGTTTCCTCCCCCTGCGGTGTCCTTGATTCGGAATCCTCCTCGTCGCGTGGCTCGTCGGCTCCCAATCCCTCATCCTCCAGTTCCTGTAAGGGAAAAAGGCAAAATATTCCAGAAAAAGCCGTTTATGTTGGGAACACCCACGGTTTTGTCCTTGAAGAAGTTGGCGAAATAGAGAGCAATCAAAACGCAGATGAGTAACGTGACTAGTGCTACCGAATAGTGACCTGGTAGACCTAGGAAGAGGACGTCTAGTGAAGGGAATATATCCTGCATTATGTTTTTCCTCTTGTTATTTGTTGTTTAATTTCTGTTTGTATTTTTTCTTTTTGGCGCAGTGTGACCGCAGACTGTAAGCATAAAATTCCAAAAATACTTTTTATTTATTTTTAAATTTGTATTTAAATTAATAATTATTTTATACAAACCTATCTTGGCGAATGACAAAAATTTTGTCAAGCCCGATGATTCTACAGGCGAACGTCTATATCATATAGCTGCCATAAGAATGATCAGAAATGAATTGATTAAAATTGTTGTTTCTAACAATATTTATTAAAAATATTGTTTTTAAGTAATCGTAGGTATACTAATAGTGTAGATTATATCATAAATAAGGTTTTAATTTCATGAAATTCAGATGATGGTAAAACTAGATAAGTTTTGTGGTTTTGTTGAGTTATGCGTATATTATGCTGTTTATTCTTATTATACTAATTGTATACTGTTTCGGGCTTTCATGAGTTTGATCAAAACTTTATGACTATATGTCTGTTATACTAACCGTTCGGCTCAAAAATCTGGTCGATTGAAAATGATTTTAACAAACACATTTATACATTTTCTGCATATCCGCTAAGGTAATATTTCGGCTTTCAGAATCTTGCTTTCGTTATCGGAATGTTTTTAATGATTGCCATTTGAAAAAAATCAAACCAGGTTCATGATCCTAAGTGTTTTTAATACTTTAAAATCAAAGAAATTCGCTCAAAAATAACAGTTATGATAATAAATATTTTCAAAAACTATTGGCTTATATTCATAGCAGATGTATCCGAGCTAACATCAGCTATATGGAATGATGCATCTTCAGCGGGCATATCATCCTCATCGGTGTACAATCGGCGTAAGCGCTCCTTATAGCTTCAAAAAAATACATGGGTTATTAGAATCTGAAAGCATGAAACGCTTCATTTTTCTCACAGTTCGCTGTCCGGATTATTTGCCTGGTTGCGGCACTTATCCAGCTTCTTCTCGATGGCTTTAACCTTATCCCGATCCGGCTGTTGATACTGCTTCACCATAATTCGAATTTCTCTCAGGGAAAAATAAATAAGTTTTAAGCGATCCGCTGTTTTAACACATGAACTTACTTCTCACGGCATCAATGAGACCGGGCAACTTATCCCTGGCGGAAACAAATAGAAGATCCGTTACATAGCTGTCAAGATTCTCTTGTTCTCTGCTGGCAGCGTGAAGAACGGCAGCCAATGCAATCTGCGATGGCGTGTGTAGAAGACAAGCATCCGTGTAGAAAGTGGAATCGATGAAGCTATCAATATGTGGGCGTAGCCGCTCTGGATTTTGCATGTTGCTGCGGGTCTAGAAACATTTTAAAAGGTTGAGGATATAACATTCAATGAAATCTCAAAAACTCACTTTTATATCTATTAGGAAGCCCTCTATGGGTCTGAACGGATTGTGTATGGTGAGGTAGTAGTTCAGCTGACCAATCAGAAGTAATTCGTTGGATAGCACTATGTCTGTAGCCTTATTTCTGTCGCCTTTAATGTTGTTCACGAATTGATTGATGGACACGTTGAACTCCTCCACTTTGCAGGCAACAAACACACATGTGGCTCTGAAAAGTCCTTATTGGTAATATAAATCCATAAACATTAAAATAAGGGTGTTCTTACAGAATCTCCTTGGGGTGATAATCCATCGGCGTGTTGTTCAGATAGAATCGCTTGAAGTAGTGGAAGGCCGTGCCGACCACGCACTTGGGCATTGGCGGATCGAAGCGTCGGCAGAAGTCGAACAGGTAAATCTCGTACTGCTTCAGCAACAGGCGCTCTTCCGGAGGCGTGAGAAAATGCTCCTCTATGTGGCCCTGCGCCTCCGCCTCATGGCCTTCGATATACTTGTTGTTCTGCTCCACGCGAAAGGCCATTAACTGACCCTCGTTGGCGAACGTCCAGGACCTCTTTTGGGAGCTCACGGGATACATTTTGCATATTAGTCGGCTACTTGTTTAGAATGCGAAAACAGACCGCTCAGGAGCTAGAGGTGATATTAATGGCAGTAGGGCTGGAGAAACATCGATGCTTACGTCGTTGCTATCGATGTTTTCAGAACATTGGTAAAAGTTCTTGCGCTATGTTAACGATTTCACTCTTGTTCAAGTACTCAGATCGACAAACGAGTACGCTAGCGTAAAAACTTTAATCTTTCCAGTGTGACCAAAATTTCGAGAGTTCATCAGAATTAAGCGTGCTACGGTCGTACTGTCAGTAAGCTGGGTTTTTTGACAAGCAGTTCAAATTCAAATATCGTATTTGCGTGAAAAAGCCTTTAAAAGATATTATCAACTACCTTGGCAAGACAAGTCTGCTGCTGTATAAAGAAATTAAAAAACAATACAATTTAAATTTAACAGTTGTTTTTTTTAATTTACTGATAATTATTTGCTAATTTAAAGTTCATAGCTGCACTTTTATTGTATTTTTTCTTACATTCTGGACCTAAAAAACATTTTGCTCTGACAAGAGGCACCCCAGATAGTATTAATGTTATTTTGTCCTCACATGTAAACACCTGCAATCGACTTTTGTGAGTTTTTTGAGGTTTTCCCTCCATTTCTTATAATGTTCAGTGAGAGGCGCACGCCAAAAGATTACATTTTTTAATCTTTTCGCTAGGGTTCACCCAAAGTTCATTTCCGCAGACTGGCAACGCTACGCTATTTTTTTCGTCGATCTGAGGACCGAGGTGAAAAAAAACGTTGACGAAAAGTGAACGCCAGCTGTTTGCCTCTCGCTCTCTCTCATGACTGGCGGACAGTTTATGTCGATCTGAGTATTAGGCTTATGTCAAGACATTTCAATCGATGTATAGCATTGCCCGATACCGATATGAAGCGCATTGCACAAGGCCGCCAAATTCAAAAACCAAAAAAGCGGAAGGGAGATATTTGATAACCCGATATATTGATTTTTGATGCATCAGCAAATATCCCGTCATCCCAGAATCCGCAGTCAAGTTTTAAACGAATATTCCGATTTGCATGGCGGGGGACATATGTATAATGGTTTGGACCTGTTTGTGCACTGTAGGTGTTGGATGGCGTAAATTCTTTGAAAGCACAATAACAAGCAGGAAAGGAAGGAAACTTTGGCACGCCGAAGTTTATATACCCTTGCAGTTATTCCAAAACGACTAAATTTCGGTTTCTATACCTATATTACTAAAAACTATGAAGCTATGTCGATTTTAGGCTGCATTTTGCCATTTCGATTTTCCTATGGGAGCTACATGTTATATACATAAGTATGTCCGATTTTAATTTATTTAAAACCGTGATTCCGTAGTATTTAAATATTACTAAACCGAAAGGACAACAATAAAAATTAAAAACAAGAAAGGAAAGCTAACATCGGGCGGAGCCGAAGTTGATATACCCTTGCAGAATATTCTGTAAATTATATTGGTTTCCAAAAATTAAACCAATAAAAAATACCAACTTCCCAACTTTACAAACACCAAAGTTATGGCATTTGCGTTCAATCAGTTATATGGCGGATATAGTCGGCCGACCCTTATGAAATTTGGTAGGTCGGATTGATTAACCAAATATAAAACTCATAAAAAATCCCAACTTCCTAACTTTAAAAACGCCAAAGTAATGGCATTTCCGATCGTTCAGTTATATGGAAGCTATTTGATTTAGTCGGCCGATCCGGCTCGTTCCGACTTATATACTACCTGCAATAGAAAGACAACTTTTGGGAAAGTTTCAAGCAGATAGCTTTAAAACTAAGGGGACTAGTTTGCGTAGAAACGGACGGACGGACAGACGGACAGACAGACGGACATGGCTAGATAGACTCTCCTGGTGATGCTGATCAAGAATATATATAATTTATAGGGTCGGAAATGTTTCTTTCACTGCGTTGCAAACTTTTGACTGAAATTACTTTTTATACCCTTGCAGAGGGTATTATAATTTCAGTCAAAAGTTGCAACGCAGTGAAGGAGACATTTCCGACACTATAAAGTATATATATTCTTGATCAGCATCACCAGGAGAGTCGATCTAGCCATGTCCGTATGTCCGTCCGTTTGTCCGTCCATCTGTCCGTCCGTCCGTCCGTATCTACGCAAACTAGTCCCTCAGTTTTTAACCTATCTGCTTGAAACTTTCCCAAAAGTTGTCTTTCTATTGCAGGTAGCATATCAGTCGGAACAAGCCGGATCGGGCGACTATATCATATAGCTCCCATAGGAAAAATCAGAAAAAAAAATTCCAAAAAAATTATAACTTTGTTGTTTTTAATTATTCTTATATTATTCTTATTTATTGTTCTTTAAGATTTGGTAATATGTAAATATTGTGGAATTACGGTTTTAATTAAATTAAAATCGGACAACAATATCATATAGCTGTCATGGAAACAATTGCAAAATGCTGCGCAAAATCGACAGAGCTTCATTGTTTTAGTAATATAGACATAGAAATCGAAATGTAGTAGATTTGTAACAACTGCAAGGGTATATAAACTTCTGCTTGTCGAAGTTTGCTTCCTTTCTTGTTAAGTTTTAAAATTGGTAGACTAAAATGCTTTAATTAGATCATTTTCCTAAAGGGGGGGATTAGTATTTCGCATATTTTTTCTGAATGCACAACATCTCGACAATATTGTGTTAAAAACTTAGATCGATCCGAGTAAAACTTCCGAACTTATGGGCAGTTGAACGTTGGTAAGTAAGCGCGTTTTATGTTCAATTTTTGGGTGTCCCAAACTTTAAAACGCTCTCCTGAAAAGTTGCCATTTCAAAGTCGGTGTACACTACTGCAAAATCTATCAAACGGATAGTTTTGAGATTTTGCACAGTATTTCTCTACTAACAAATATCTCGACGTTTTGGCCTTAAAAAATCAAAAAAAAAAAAAAAATAAAATCTGGACGTTACCTGAGGAATCTTGTCCTTTAACTAATGCAATTTCATTTTTATACCCTTGCAGAGGGTATTATAATTTTGGTCAAAAGTGTGCAACGCAGTGAAGGAGACATCTCCGACCCTATAAAGTACATATATTCTTGATCAGGTTCATCTCCTGAGTTGATATAGCCATGTCCGTCTGTCTGTCCGTCTGTCTGTTTCTACGCGAACTAGTCTCTCAGTTTTAAAGATATCGAATTGAAACTTTGCACACATCCTTCTTTTTTTGCACGCAGTATATAAGTCGGAACGGCCGGGATCGGACGACTATATCCTATAGCTGCCATATAACTGATTGATCGGAAATGCAATAAAATTGGTGTTTGTAAAGTTAGGAAGTTAAGATTTTCTAGTTTTCTTTCTAGTTTTAGTTTTGGCCAATCAATCCGAACTACCGAATTTCATGAGAATCGGCCTGATTGATCGGAAACGCCATTAACTTTTTAAGGTTAGGAAGTTGGGATTTTTTATGAGTATTAAGAATGCATCTCATAAATAATTTTGAAGAATATAATTTACAGAGTATTCTGCAAGGGTATATCAATTTCGGATCCGCCCGAAGGTAGCTTTCCTTTCTTGATTCATTTAAAATGATTCTGTTACCAGTTATCGTGTATACCGCAAAATGTGTTTTTTTCGAGGCGCCGCCGGAGATTGCTTGTATCTCACTTAATTTGTAATATTTTTGGATGATAAAATTCACCAATAAAAATTCTTAAAAAATGACCGATTTTGCACCGAATTAACTATACCCACCCTTAAGTGCTCGAAAAATTGTAGTGTCGACTTTGTATATTTGTGGGTAAGAATCGCCCTAGCTTAAATAAGTTGGTACATGCAGTCCAATTTCCCTATCTGGTACCAATATTTGCCAAGAAATAAATTCCATCCATGAAGCATTAAAAATAGTTCGACTTATAACAAATTCATTTATATAAGTTTAAGCATTGGAAGTAAGTCTGTAGCTACAAATATTGTGTAAGCTAAGTTAAAATCAGGGGAAATTATTAGCAGACCTCGTAAATTGCTTTGATAAGTTTTGTTATTGATGCAAAAAATATCTGACGTTGGAATGCTGCTTCTCGGTGTTATTTTAATAGTACCGGGTAAAAGTATTTCAGTAGAAAAAAGAAAATTAAATATATAATCTGAGTTTGGTTTTTAAATGTGCCTGGAAAATTGAACCCACTGTTAACCTACTGTTCACGTTTCACCCATACAAAAACTGACTGTGTTTTGGGGCCAATTCCCTCTTAAGAAGCTAACTGGTTCAGCGAGACGACGCCTTCAATTGTACATCTCCGGACTGAACAGTTTATGCGCGTGCGCGACACACAGGCAAAATGACACAAAGACAGTCGGACGGAGATGAGATGGATTGCCGTCGGCGGGACTGACTGACTGACTGACAGTCGGTTGGCCTTAGCTTATCGTCAGTCTCTAGTTACGGATACAAAAGGAAGCTCGGCTCTGGGCGTACTTAAAATTCAATTGAATCTTGAATTATTGCATTGAATTTCATTGTTTGTAAATGCTCGCCCGCTGTGTCTGTATCGGGTTGTAAACTGATTTCATTTTCTCCCTGTGCCATAGATTTATTTATTTCTCTCATTTTGTTGAATGCTTCAAGTTCAGCCGTCGTAAATCGTCACAAAATGTTATGATTATTATTGGAGCAGGTATTGTATTACATAAGTTGGGTGGTCTTTGGCTTTTGAGGGAACCTAAGCCAAAACAATGTATTACCCAACTTTATCTTTATCCCTTCTGCCTGCGTACTTACCGTCGATCTGTAGATCTCTATCGACGACACCAATAAAACTCATTGCGAAAGTATCTGCAACAAGCATCTACACCAGCAGCCACTTGTATCTCAGCGCCCCATTCCCCAACACAGTGCATAAATGCATTTTAAAAGCATATTGAGCACGCGATTCCCCCCGATTTCGATTCCCTGGTCTTCGGTGTATTCATTTCGCTAGGAGCATTATTTCTGCTTAGCAGCTACTGTTTGCGCGGCTAATTGTGCGTGTGTCGTGCGATTATTCAGCTTTGTATCTCACTTTGTCTGGCTGCTCTCGGGGGGCGTGTTCCCAAAGATACTCTCCCGAACACACCGACAGACACAGACCCATTGGATAGACGTGTGAATTGCCATTCGAGAGTTTCACAGCCAATCAAGAGAGTTATGTCTTCGTAAATACATATGAACACATCGGAGTTTAAGTGATGGGAAAGCGTAAGTTAAATTAAGTGCTTAAGGTGTATAAATCAACGAAGATGGGTAGACAGCAGCAGATATGTAAATGCATTTGAGTTTGGGTCGATCTGTAAGTACCGCTTTTAATAATCAATACGGCAAACACTATAAAAGAAAACCTTGAGTTAACAACGTATTAAAAATGCAAGTACTTCAATGCAAAGTAAACATTTATAAAGATTTTCTTTAAGAGTAAAAAACATAAAAGAATATATAAAAAATTAAAACCATATTATTTAATAAGTATTTGCTTAAAGTACTCACACAGTTTTTCTAGTCGAAATCATCGCGTTCGTTTCCTAAGTCATTTGTTTGGTCTGTATTTCACGTCCGAGTCTCTGCTCTCCCATTGAGCAGATATAAACTTGTGTCATCTGTCTTGGCCTGTCATAATTACATTTATATAGTCAACATCTAGGTAGCCTGACATTTGGAAATATGTCAGCCAACACTGTTATGTAATGAATAACGCATTGACTGGCCAGGATTTTCTGCTCCCCACTTGATGGATATACACGTAAACACAGATGCCGTGACAGTTGAATCAAAAACACATACGCATATATATCTTGATATGTACCTGCATATTGAAGAAATTTCTTTTGTAGATGGTCAGCCAAAAGTTTGGTCATGTGTCAATGGAATGAAGCTTTTTACGTCAGCCACAAGAGGGAAAGAGTTAGAGATTTTGTATAGGAAGTTGGCGGATTTAGTCTGAAAAATACAACATACTATTGCTATTTTTACTCCATTTTTCATATTTTTATTTTATCTCTTTTTACATTTTATTATTTTTTAATGCCTAGTAAAATAATTTATTTAAAAATAATAAAACAAACAAAAAGTCAATACGAAAACAACACTTTAAATTAAGAATTCTTAAGATTATCATTACAGAATTTGTAAACATAAATTAAAAACAATAAAATGGTTTATTAATTTACATCGCACATGAAATTACAGACATCTGTAAATTTGGCTAACTATTATAAAATATATTAAGTAAATAAACTTAATTATTTTAATTGTTAAATTATCTACTGTGATTGAGCTAAATTAATACATATTAATATGGATATTTGTACATAATTTCACTGGCACCAACATTTACAATTTCTCATTACTTCTTAAAATATGTATGTAAAAAAGTCGAAGGGTTTTTAAGGTTCTGTGTAAATAATTGTTGGTTATATTGTAATTTTAACACTTATTTGAAAACTACTTCACTTTGTATTATATAGGTAAGCGAACAATTTTCAGTTTGATCCTAAATAACGCTGAGATGGTATTTTATATAAAATTTTTTAGTAACACCATATGTATTTATTATCCGTTGTAATGTTGATTTAAATGTTTTCAGTTTCCAAAACGCATTCCCGATCGACTTTCCCCAGTTGATTAAATACTTGTTACATACCTAAACCTAAAGTACGCGAAATTGTTTTGGCACTCGAACGAATTCTCTGGCAATCACGAGATGATCTCAGCCTGTCAATGTTTGTGACCTCACTAGGGTGAGATCGAGGGGCGTGGACTTACGCACGAAGGTCGGGGATTCCCCCAAGCAGTGACTCACGGCGGCAGGCTCACTCAAACTGGGACTATTCGAGGTGTGGGCCAGAGGACTGGCGGGATCTACTCGCGATCTAAACGACAGATCGATGGGCTCCTCCAGCTCCGGGCTGCTGGCCGTCGGAAACAGCAGCTCCGCCTTGAACTGATCCTTGAAAATGGGCAGTTGCGGGACTCCGGCGGCGAGCAGGACTGGTGGCAGGTGGCTGAAGGGAGCGAAGGAGCTGTACAGCGGCTCCGAGTGGCTGCGGAAGATCTCGAGCAGTTCCTGGTGACGCTGCCGCTGTAAGTCCGCATCCGGCTCCGAAGTCGCCGCGAAGTTGGAGTGCCTCAGATCCAATTTCGGTAGGTTGGTAGCGTTGGTGGATGAAGGTGTGGGGATCTGACCACTGAGCAAGCTGGTGGCTCCATCCTCATTGGGATCCCCTGCAGAGGATGCTCCGGAATCACTGGGCGTATTGCTGAGGCGAGACTCGAGCTTCAACTGCCTCTGGTGATGATGGTGGTGATGGAATTTGGCCGCCTGGAGGAACGACGGTGAAGCGGCACCACCAACTCCTGCGCCCACTGCCCCTCCCTCGATCCTGGGCGATGTTGCAGTGGCGGACTTAATGCAGGGATTGGTCTTGTCCTGATAGGTTTGCCGTGCCTGATTACTCGCCTGCTGCAGTCGCGCCAGCTGCTCCAGACTCGCGGTGCTCACCCCGCCACCGGACCCACCTCCCGCCGAGCCCCCGCCTCCCACGCCGGTCGTCGTCTGCTGCTCCTGCAACAGGCAGTGGATCTTGAACCAGTTGGATCGGCGACCGTAGCGGGAGCCACTCTTGGACATCCCCACCAGGAGGCACTTGCGCAGGCGGCACGCCTTGCAGGCCGTGCGGTTCTTCTTGTTGATCACGCAATCTCCATTGTGCTTGCATCCTGCTATTGCCGCAATGTTGTTGTAGGTGCGTCCGAAAAAAGACTATGGGAAAAGAGAAATTGCTTTTGATTATATACTTCATCAAAAATAGGACTATAGGTAAAAGAGATTTGTTATAAATAAATTAAAACATAATCTGAACAGCTTAAACAACAAGAAGAATAGAAAACTTTGGCAGCCCGATCATTTATCGATTTTTTTGCTTGAGTGTTTAAAAACAATAATGATGTGATTCCTTTTTACGGCAGCTACATGAAAAAAATCGATAATTTTTGTAAAATAAAAATGTATTTATAAAACCGTTCAAGAGTAAGTGCTTAGATTGATTTTAGTCAATTGGGCGTGATCAAGATAATGTTTTCCTAGAAATAGAAAACTTCTCTTAGAAAAAAAAGTCTTGAATTTAAAAAAAAATGGTTGAAGAATAAAAAGCGTGATATTTTCTAAAACTAAGTCGATTTCCTTTCTTTTTTCAATTCCGCATTTGGTACTAGAAGCTTTGTTCTCCATCCTTTAGGCATGGCTGTGTACAATGCAGGCATTTGCGAGCGGCTACAACGTACTTTATAGTGTCGGAAATGGGCTTTTGATTGACATTATGTGTGTTTATTATACCTTAAAAGAGGGTATTAAAATTTAAGTCATAAACGCATTACCATCAGCATTGCTCTAGCCATGATCGATATCCGTCCGACTGTTTCTAAACAAACTAGTCTTTCAGTCTGATAAACCAATAAGGATGGTCAGCGTGACAAGTCACACGAATACGACGATTTCTTCAAAAACAATGCAATTTTAAAATATGGTTGTCAAATAAATTCTGACATAGAACAGAACGGATCAACCATGTAACAACTGGCAAAACTTTGTTGATTTTAACGATGCACTTATAGTATTTTTTTATAATTTTATAGTTTATTACTGTTATAGATGCAAAGGTGTATAAGGTTGGAATTGGCTTCATTTCTTTTTTAATGTATTTGTTTATTAATAAAATCTTTAAATCGAGAAATTAAGCTTAGACCAAAGCTGAAGAATTATTGTTGAAACAATCTTCTAATAAAGCTTTTCATAAACTGCTAACGTTCTTTTATTCTGAAAATTTCGCTTTGTATGAATTACTCTTGTTTATTTAAATATGGGATATACTTCAATGCCTATTACAAGAAATTTTGGCCTTCAAAAATTCGTATTATTTTGGAAAAAACGTTTATTTATCAACATTTGAACGAAGTATCGCAATCGGTCGAAGTTCCATTTGAAGGGTATTTTAAGCAATATTAATAATATAACAAGAAAGGAAAGCTAACTTCGGGCGGAGCCGAAGTTGATATACCCTTGCAGAATACTCTGTAAATTATATTCTCCAAAATTATTCATATGATGCATTCTTAATACTCATAAAAAATCCCAACTTCCTATTTTTAAAAACACCAAAGTTATGGCATTTCCGCTCAATCAGTTATATGGCAGTTATAGGATATAGTCGGCCGATCCTTATGAAATTTGGTAGGTCGGATTGATTGGCCAAATATAAAACCCATAGAAAATCACAACTTCCTAACTTTACAAAGATCAAAGTTATGGCATTGGATATAGTCGGCCGTTCCGACTTATGTACTGCGTGCAAAGGAAAGAAGGGTGTGTGCAAAGTTTTAATTCGATAGCTTTAAAACTGAGAGACTAGTTTGCGTAGAAACAGACAGACGGACAGACGGACATGGCTATATCAACTCAGGAGGTTATCCTGATCAAGAATATATATACTTTATAGGGTCGGAGATGTCTCCTTCGCTGCGTTGCACACTTTTGACCAAAATTATAATACCCTCTGCAAGGGTATAATAATAAATATGAAATTTGGCTCTTTCTATTTTTATCCATAATTAATTTGTCTGTAACGTTATGTTATTTTATGTTGTCTAAATCTTAGTTCTGACATCAATTAATTAAACCGTTTTTCAATCTCAAATGAAAATCCCAATTACGCATAGAACTGAAGCAAATATATATCTGATAAACCACTTAACACCTCTGCATGTTGGATTTGTATAATCCCATTGTTTTCGCTTATTTGCACCTGTCACTCCTCTGCTCCACCTATTGAACTTGCATACAATTACAAAATGTGCGTTTATTATTTGGCCAACTACTGGTAAGACAGCATAAATGGTAAGGAAAATAAAAAATCTACTCTCCGTGATACATTTACTTTGCCACAGCTGATTCTCTTTTGTTTTGGTGCCATGCCAACTCATGGTGGAGAGCTTGCCCGAGTTGATTTTGAAGTTCAACTTTGAGTGGTCTTTGATGGATGTCTGAGACTTTTGTTTCCGATTGCGCTGAATCATCTAATATGCATGTAATTTTTATTTGATTGACTGCAGTTTACAATTGTGCTCGCCTTGGGGCTTACCTAGCTCTATATATGGACCCGCCCCCCTCGCCCTAACGACTGCTCTGAATTTCGCAGACTTTTTCCCATGCTATTTGAAGGTGAGCCTTGTATTGTGTCCGCTGCGCACACGTATCTACTTATAGTCAATTAATAATCGATTAATCTACCGAATTGAATTTTAATTATAGTAATAATGTTTTCGAGTTTGCTTTGTGAAAAAAAGTAAAAGCCGAAATCGAGATCATTTTTTGCACATTTTGTCGACGGAATGTGCGAAATTGAATCTCTCGAGTTTCTCACAATTGGTCGGATTAAATTCTATAAAATATCGATTTGGGTTGTTTTGGTTGTTTTCGCATAGTAGAATAACTCACCTTGCAGCCCTCACATGTAAATGCCCCGAAATGAAAACCAGCCGCCGGCTCGCCGCACACTTTGCACAGCTGGTTCATCTGCAAAAAGGGAGGTATGGGTATGAGAATAATAATAATGTTAATTATTGTAAAAAATATGTGCGATAAATTTGTAATGTTTAATTGCTTTTGCTTTTTATACAAGAAGAGTCAATCCAGTGGATCAGTCATTAAAACATTAATTAAATGTGTAAGCTATTTGTATACAAAGAAAGGTACATTCAGAGTACCGCTTTAAAATCTGCGACTTAGATTACATTACTTCCCTGCAGATGTGAAAAAATTTATGATTGTTAGTATTGAGCAATTTTAAAAATGTATTTAATTGAACTGTACTTTTATCATTTAAGCAATATTTCTTTTTTCTAGCTCCTTTTTCAGTTGTTCTATTCCCTGGCTACGACGCCCACAACGTGTTGCTAAAAGCCTAATTGAAAAAATCCAACTCTGGCGACCTCTTCACGATTGTCCTTGTTATTGATGATGCCTTTTTTCACAGATAATTTTTCTCTTGCCTGTGTTTTTTGCTGCCGGGCCAACACATTGACTCTCGGCTCAGCTGTGATCAAGACGAGGCCATGGCCAAAACTACAACCACGAAAGCCACGCCAAAAAGCACGAGAAGAAGAACTGCGGCGGCAAAAACAACAACATGCATAACCGATGACCCACTGCGTTTCTCTTTATTTTTATTCTTTTTTTCGGAGCTTCATTTTTTTTATTTCGCTACAGGTCGTGGATAGAAATTGAGGTATGCAGCGACCGGTTTGGGCTTGCACCATCAAAGTTTCGGTCGCGGCAATGTCAGAAGACCGTGCACCCCATCCTCCCCTCTCTTTCACCCCCAGAATCCCTATCCCTCTCTCTCTTTTTCCAGGTAAGGCCGTAGTATACGTTCACACATCTAATGCAATGTACTATAGTGACTTGTTTTGCCTGCCCACAAAGTCTAAGGTCAAGCGAAAAAAAATTCAGCGAGGAGCAAATAAAATATTTACAAAAATCTTGCGTCAACTATTTAATGAGCATGAAGAATCTGAGGGAGGGACCTATTTTGTCATGGATATACAAAATAAATTCTCAGATGTGTGTGCTTATAATCTATGGCATTGGGGTCTTTATTGCCACATTTGTTAGTATACAGGCGTTTTGGAAAAGTGCACGATGGTTTTGTAACATCCAAAACATTTAACCTTTGTTTTATAAAATACAAGATCGAACTGATTAAAACTTACTTAGGATATTTTCGGTTTAAGAAGTTAAATTTAAAATGAATGGCCAGGAAATATCTGACAATTTGCTTATCCTTAGTTTAATTTGTGGTTATTTAATAAGAAGTATTGAAATATGGCTATTGTTCTTCGCTTTACACTTTTTTGGCCAAAAGTGTTTTTTTTATTATAAAGAGTAGTCATAAATTTTAAAAATGTAACACTTTTCATTTTGTAATTTAGCAATAAGAGCTGCTTTTGCTAAATAAAAAGGCCAGACAATTTACAACTAGTAATGTATACACCAATTTATCTACAAGGGATTAATTTTTTTTGAAAGAATGAGTAACTCAATATAAAATAAATAAAACAAAAAAAGTACTTACAAATATACGCAACCAACAAAAAGCTATATTAGAAAAACAAAGGGTTGAATTTCTTACTAAATAAATATCATCAATAAACAATCTATTAGTCTAAACAAAAAACAATAAGGATGTATTTAATTTATTTGGTAAATGATCGGTCATGTTTAAGTAAAATCATTATGGATATTTTTAAAATATTCTGCAATGGTAAAAATACAAGATAAAATATTTCAAATGTGCAATTTTGAAAGAAAAAAAAATGTGAATATGTGAATATGAGATTGACAAATTGTCATTTTTACAAATATTTTTATAAGAACTTTTCTGTGTAGATAGCCTTAAAACAATAGTACACTCTACCAAAATTAACAAAATGCCTTATTGAGAACATAATTTTAAATTTTTCAAAATTAAGGGCGTTCCTTTCTAAAATCTAAGTGCGATAGAGCAAAAAAAAAAACTTAAAAAATAAAATATTTCGGGATTTTTTTAAAAATAAAACATTCACATGAGTAATTTTCATTCAGGATTATATGTACATATATGATATATGATATTTTTTTTTTTAAATATATTTTAACATACGGTGAAAACATTTTTTGTTAAATCAGTGCGGTAGAATGCTTAAAAAGTATCTTTATTCTTTTAAAGTTTCGACTCTTTTTCATAGAATAACTCTCTTAATCATAGTCATAGTAGTTAGATTTAAAATAGATTTATATTGAAACAATAATTAAAAATTCAATTTCCTTACACAAAAATGAGGACACACATTCAAAAGTAACACCGAAAAAATCTATTGTTTATACCGATGTTTTAATCAAAATTATATGAAGTCAAATGCTTGGGTAAGCTCTTGTCATTTCGAAGACCGGAGATCTAACCCCGACACCGTTAACACAACTTGAATAGAAACCTAATAAGTATTTCAAAAAATAGATAGAATATTTTTCATTCAAAATTGTCATTATGTAAACAAAATTAATAAGCGAACATAGATTGTACTCTAGAAACAAGTCCTAAGTCACTTAAAGTTTTTTTTAACAATTTAAAAAAATATTATCCTAAAACAAGAAAAGAAAGCTAACTTCGGGCGGATCCGAAGCTGATATACCCTTGCAGAATACTCTGTAAATTATTTTGGTTGGCCAAAAATAAAACCTATAAAAAATCCCACCATCCTAAGTTATGGCATTTCGAATCGTTCAGTTATATGGCAGCTATAAGATATAGTCGGCCGATCCTTATGAAATTTGGTAGGTCGGATTGATTGGCCAAATATAAAACCCAAAAAAAATCCAAGAAATCCCACTTCCAAACTTACTAAAAACGCCAAAGTTATGGCATTTTTGATCGTTCAGTTATTATATACTGCGTGCAAAGGAACGAAGAGTGTGTGCAAAGTTTCAATTCGATATTTTTAAAACTGAGAGACTAGTTCGCGTAGAAACAGGCAGACGGACAGAAAAGGACATGGTTATATCAACTGAGGACACGATCCTGATCAAGAATATATATACTTTATAGGGTCGGAGATGTCTCCTTCACTGCGTTGCACACTTTTGACCAAAATTATAATACCCTCTGCAAGGGTACAAAAAAGCTAGATACGTTTGTTTTCAAAATAAACAAAAACAAAGTGTTATTAAGCTATCATCGTTAATGTTAGAATTTTAGACCGTTTTTTCTTAGATCAAGTAAAAAATCGATGGTTTATCATTTTCTAAACATTTATAATTCTTTTTTGAGTGTTGAATTCTCTAGGAGATCAGAATCCCATATTCATTTTTTTTGATTTTCTAATGGTTTATTTTTGACCGAAAGTACTTTCTCGTTTAAAGACTCGTACTTTTTACTGCACTGCCAGCAACGTAACGTACTATCTTATTTTTCAAGCAGGTAATTTCGTAATTCTTGATCTTTCTTTTCAGAACCAGAGCTCCCCACAACGCCTTGCCTCGCCCCCATGGCAGCCAGGTTAAGTGCTCCACAGAGGTGTCCGTATCTGGAAATTTTCCGGACCAGAGCGTCCAGTGGCAGGGAGCTTCTCCGCGAAATGCGCCCAGCAGGTGGTGGAGCACAACGTGATGCTGCTTCTGTGATAATGGTTAGCCCCATCCGATCCCCGCCGGCTGCCACATCCTACGCTGGCCTGCCAATGCCGGCACTTTGCATATAAACGCTCGCTAATGGACACCAAAGGTGACAGCAGAGCGTTGCTAAATTGGCAAACATTAAATTTGCACCTTCACAGCGAGCGAGCTAGCGACCGCGAATCCGTGACAATTTTCGGCACAGCGGTGCGCTTTTCCAGAAAGCAGGAAAATCATCAAGCAGAGCTGCAGCCCGAGGAGACCTTCCATTGCTGACAAAAGTCTCTGAGTTTCGAAGACCCAGAACCAAAGCTTTTGATGGGACTGCAGTGATAATCTGGACTCTAAGCTGCCAGGCAAAAATATAGAAGAATGGAGGAGTTTTAAAATAACTGACTTATAAAAAACGCGTGAAACAGTGCGGCGAAAGTTTAAGACACAACGCAATGTGACAGTAGATCAATTGAGTTGGTCTAAAGGGTAAAGTTCGCCTTGAAATAGGGACAGTAAACAAAATATTAATTGCAGAAATATAAGCATCAAAGTATAATCAACATAAAAATATATTCTGATCAGCATCGCAAGTCGATCTTAGTTAAGACCTAGCAAATTGGATTTATTATTATTTCAGATTGCCTTTTATTACAAGTGTGTTTAAAATGTATACTTGCCACATTTAGTCCACGCAGATTACTAAACTCTGCGATTTTGTCATTTTCAATACAGTTTTGGTAAATGACTCAAATTTTCAAAAAATGACTAAAAAAAACATTTTTCTTACATTTTTAGCGAGGCACCAATCGCTTCTAATAAAACGTTTTTGATCTAAAAGTTTTAGATGTTTTTTCCAAAAAAAAAAATATAATAAAAAAATAAAATAAATAAAATAAAATAAAATAAATACTTGTACAAATCAAATATTTAAAAAATATATTAGAGCGTGGTTGCACCACGCGAGCAGTCATTGATCGGATTTCTAATTTTTTATACGCATAAAATACATTTTAGTAGCCTTACTAACTCGTAAATAAGAGGTGTTCGTTTAATTTACTCTGCTTGCCAATCTGCCTTTAAATTTAAGCGTATCTCGCATTAGCTGATCTTCTGAGATAAACACAAAGTCCCCAATCATTTCGATCCTTATTGAGAAACCCGAAAGCAATGCAATTGGATGGCTAGTGCGATAAAGTTGCAGATTTCTATCCGGAGTCGGCATCTCAATCCTTTTAGTATTATCACGACAACAACCAAGGCCACTATTCCAAGTAACTGGACTCATAGTTAAAAGGCTGGTTCTTGGAGCATCTTCAGTTGCCCTTTCATTTTATTGAATAGAAGTCATGAGGGAGGACATAATTCCCAGCCACGAGCTAATTAAAAGTCCTCAAGCCGAGCCCCTGCTTATGGTGAATGGTATGTTCCTATTTATTTGGTTTGACTGTGGAAAGGCAACGAATAGCAGAGAGTAGTGAAAATTTATAAAATTTGACTCTCCTGTGCCGATTCCTTTCAAATTTAGAACAAGAATCCCCATTGTTCATTTCTGAGTGTATATCGAAGCGAACAGATCACAACATAGGAGCTATCTTGGCTGACGGGCTTATCGATTAAGCCAAGATTAATGTTACACATTGAGCTGAAACAGACAATTAATTAGAAACCTAAACTGCTACAGAAAATACTTATTGATCGTAGGACAAGTGGATGATTGTTCAGATCTAATCTCTGGAAATCTACAAAATGTTGTGTGCCATTCCGAGTTTAACTGGAGATGAACTTGATGGGGGACAAGTTCAGAGGGGCTTAGACAATAAGAACCAGATCAGTTGGTCGTAGCTACATTCTCAACAAGCTCATCAAGTTGCTGTTGACAGACCTAAAAAAATTGGAAAAAATTGTAGGATTTTTCTCAATAAGAATAATAAACAAGGGTCCAAAAAATGTGTCCTTAAAAGCAAACAAAATGATGGACAATGCCAAATCAGATAAAGGCAACATAGGGAGAAAAGGTGTTCAAACAAGCAAACCACGATTGTCTCAAATATTTTGAAGCCGCTACAAAATAGAACAAGAATCAAGAACACAGACCGGTGAACCCTGGAGCAATGACACAATCTGCAATCCAAACCCTTCTTCGACCCGAATCTCCTAAGATCTCGGCAGACAATTGCCGGTAATATGCATTATTATTAGCCCTGCCAGCCACTGGAGACGGACATTCGCAGTATGCAAATCCACTCAGCAGTCACACGCTCTAGTTTGAATTGTCTGCTTCCGCGATCCTCGGTCCTCCTTCTCCATCCTCCGCGATCGAGGATCCGCGATCCATTCGAAACGCTGCCTCTGGCCCTTTTCTGCTTGATTGCCGACAGCAGTTGGACAATTAAATGTTTGAATACCTTCCAACTTTGTCCATTCTCTGCCCCTATTGTAGTAATTTCTTGACACTTATCGCACAAAAGGCAATAACATTATTAATGAGCATGTCAATGAGCTTCTTTTGTCTTCCCCATTACACTTTATCTGGTTATCTGGTTATCCTTGGCTGTCCTTAGTGTTAAGTATGAACTCTTGGGAGTAAAGGTTGGGTCTTGATTACAAAGTAAATTCGCTAATTCCCTTTTATAATTTAAGATTTGTGATTGCTTAGTGCTTTTTTGTTTGGTATGTTGTTGATTTATTATTTGGTTTTCTTTTTTTTATAACAGTTTTGTATTAGCCAAGTAATAATTTTTTTATATCTTCGATTGAAACATTTTCTTTGTTTGTTTTATGTGCATATTTTTTTAAATTAACATATTCTATTAGTTATTCTGACAAGATTATCTGATGCCCTGTCGACAGCTTGGATATTTTTAATTTATGCAAGATATGTAAAATAGTTATAATGGTTTATTAATGTCCCTTTTTCGTAATTAGTGTTTCATTATTATATTTTAGCTATGACTTATCAATTTTGAATTTGGAATTCATTTTAATTTTTTTTAATTTCACGAATTTATGTTTTATATCTATTCAGTTATTACTATGTTTAAAATTGTATTATTATTTATCTTAATGACATTAATCTTACCTTTTCCAGAATGTAAATTTCCAAAGCTTCATAAATAATAACCTTAACAATATGCACTATTTAATATTTGTTTTTTTTTATTCATGTAATATTTATTAAGTATCTTGAGTATTTTTTGTAACTTCACACACTGGGGTATTTTTGCATGAATATCAACTGATCATATCAGATGTATTCTTCTCATGACACTCTTTAATTCCGAACAATCGAGGATGATATAGCGACGGCTTTCAAGAGGTTGTAGCAATCACGTGGCGCACATAATGCCGAAGAACTTCGCGATCAGTCGGATATAATGCGATTGCGATGCGAGAGCGAAAGAGCAGCGTAAGCCTGACTGACGGTGCTTAACAGCGTAGCGTCCATCCGAGACTAAATCGTCGCCGTCGTTCTGAGCGCCAAACAGACTCGAACTGCCAGGCTTGGCCCTGGCCTCAAAGATCGCCTCATCCCAGCAGCAACATCTGCAACAGCAGCAGCGCAAACAGCAGCAGCAGCATCAACAGCCGCAACAAAAAGACAACAATCCGCACGCGCCTTAAGATTGTATTTGTGTGCGTTTGGCAGGGCAAGGCGAAACTTAACTGTTAATCGTTGCGCCGCTGCTGCAGGAATTCCTGTTTGGCGAACAGCTGCTGCGGCAACTGCTGCGCATCACAGCGCTGCCGCCTTTGCGGCCCTGTTAAGTTGGTATGATCTGTTAACTGAACTGTTGGGCCAATTCAAATGATCACATGGACTTTTATTTACGTTTTGAGCTGGGTTGAGAAGCTCGAATACTTTCTAAGTATTGGATTTTTGGACTGGATTAGGGCCTCTAGAGACTTTTAGAAATAACAAAAAATGTAATATATAGGAAAACATTTTCTTATTCCAACCAAAAAAGAGCATAGATATTCGAGCTATTGGGTTGCAAATAAGACACATCATATTGATATCCCACCATATTTAATTGTTTCTAATTCTTCAAGTTAGTGAACAAGATTTTAAATTATAATTATTTTTTACAAGGCAAACGTTTAGAGATGAATTTATTTGCAATTGCTTTGTTGGTCACAGACTTGAAAGATTGTACCATTCATAACCAATATTTAAGAAAGTTTTGATTTCGGCGTGAAATGACTTTTTTCTAAGTGCACTCTGTTACCGACTTTACTTCGAACATGTTCGCTGTGGGTTTTCAGTCCGGTGGTTGCTGTGGCTTGAGGCTCGAACCTCCCCGCTCTCTGAAATGCTGCCGCTGGGTTTCTTCTGTGTGCTGAGCTGTGGTTGGCTGTTGGCACCGGCACGATCTTAAAACGTTTCGTTCGTTTTCATTGAATATTGTCTCGATGCGGTTGGCTGTTGGTTGTTGTTTTTTTTACCCCCATTTGACTTTACACACGGTACTGTTATCATTTGAGTGTATTGGCTGCTAGAGTGTTGGCTCTGCTTTGTTTTCATTGTGCATGTGCATCCATTTGAACTCGTATTGGACGACTAATGTGGCAAAGAGGTGGGCACTTAATGCCCGGCGATCAGTGTAAATAAACATTGGGAGAAACCAAGAAAAAATCGGGGGAATTTGTTGCTTGTCTCGCAAAATGGTGAAAACAAGTTTGTTGCCTGAGTCGTTTGTCTTAACCGTATATTTGAATGGTTTTAAATTTTAATCTTTTTTCAAGAGTTAGAGATTGGAGCAAAGTAAATTTATAATCATTATTTCAAATATAAAATGTACTAAATGCAAAATATTGACTGTTTCTGACATTTTATTTACATTGTTGCCACAAACTATTTATATCCCTGAAACCCTGTTGTTCGTATATAGATCCCAAGCAAGTTTTCTTCAAATGATGCGTACGATAACAGAATTAAACCAATTTAACTCAATAACCCAGAAAAATATATAAAATCAAAGTTTATATTTCCTGGTTTTATTTGGATTTCCACCAGCGGCAATCAACGCGTTTCCATATGTCTAATTGAATTCTCTTGTCATAAGCATGATCAGATGGCTTCCTCCGTGCGCTTAGATGCCCACTCAAGTGATCCTCGGGCAGTTGGCCAGTCTTTGTCTTTATCTGCAACTCTAACTCTCAGCTTCTGTCACTTGGGGATGATGATGATTTCATTTTAATAACACCACTGGACGGAGAAAAGACTAGCACGGTGGAGATCGTTTAATACTCTGCGTTCGCTGCGGCCGTGTCAACACCACTTGACGGAGTAACAAGGAAGCGCAACACTCTAAAATGACGTGTAATTTATCACAGCCAAAAGCATTTAGCCATGAACTGGAACGGAGACTTCAAGTCGGACTACAACTGCAACTGAATCTGGCTAGTTTCTTGCAGTAGTTTCCTCCGGCCAGCCTGTCAGCATAGTTGTCGTCATAATCTGCCAACTGGCGATTGCGCTGCAATTTTTGTCGTCATATTAACATTTCTCCTGCTCGTGGGCAAATCTCCCATCTTCCCTCTGCTCTGTCTAAATTTTTAATTAAGTTTGGGCCTTGGCAACGGGCGCATATCTCTCCTGTTCGCGTGCTCATCTCACGGTGATGAGTTGGGACATTAGCTTTGATGGCTGCTCATATTTATTAGAGCGCAATCTGGCTCAAATTGTAGCCACTTGCACCGATTGGGAGAGCAAGGAACTCTATTCCAATTAAAAAGTAAAAAGTCTAAAGTACATTTAAAACGGATTTTTTTAAGAACTTATATAAATATAATTTAAGCACTTATAATCTATAAAATTGGGTTTAAACAGGCTTACTTTTAAAAGTAATCTTTTTAAATTACAATCTTTCAAATATTTGAAAATAAATTTCAAAAAGGAGCGTCTCTCCGAAATCTATATACTCTTAAAGTAGATAGTTCTAATTTTTTTATAGTTAAATGGTTTTTATTGTAAAAATTGCAAATTTGTCTACAGATTTCGACATGTTTTAAAATAGTCTTATCAAAATCAAATTTCGGAGTAAGAATTACATTTTTTTATGAAATATTTATATGAATTTTCAGATTACATCTTTTAACCAAAAGCTCAATAACCAGCTAAAGGTCATTATACTGAAGATAAAAATTAAAAAATACCATGAAGTGTAAATGTTTGTTCTGCGGACCTTCTGACAACCAAATCATGTATCTCCCACTAAAACGTATAGTTAGATCATTTTTACTATGCTTCAGAGCAAAATTACAGCTTGCCCATTCCTCAAACGTTTCAGAGAAAATTTCAATCAAGCCAAACCAAGATTGCCAAACACTTAAACAGGTCTGTTTTGTGCACTAACATGGCCAAATACAAATTGTCCATGGCCAAAAAAAACGAAAAGCCAAAGAAATCACAGCAAGGCACAAACAAAATAGGCGACAAATCTTCCGATGCTGACTTGAAGCCGGCATGCCACCGAATTGAAGACATTTGGCGACATACGATCGATGCCAAATCGATCCAGATACAGATACTTTAAATCACAATTTCAATTGAGCGAACGCAGGCCAAACAGAGCCAAAAAAATCTACAAAATCGATCTGCGCACATGTCAAAGGCGGTAGCCAACTCTCCAACAACAGCGCGCGTAGACGCAACAACATCAGCAGTAGCAACAACAACATCAGCAACCACTGGCAGGCAGCATTTTATTTCAATTTCAATTGATTGTCGTACAATCGCCATGAATTATTCAGTTTTTAGAATTGCATTGCATGAAGTCAGATAGAGATAGCTGCCGGACAGGCGATCGGCGAGGGAGAAAGAGAGGGAGTGAGGAATACGGAACATGGACATATTTTTGCCACTGTCTGTTGTTGTAGCTGTAACTTACAGTCATACTGCCCCGTCTTCTTCTTCTTCTTGCCCGACCCCCAAGTCGCTGTCAATGTTATTGGCGATATAAGGCAATAAAGAAGATGGACCATCTATATGTTCCTATAAATGTTATTATCAAAAATTGTATGACGTTTGTAAATTTGTTATTTCCTGTTTTATTTCGTATAGACAATATTTTAGGGTTAATGCATAAGACTAAGGCATAATTAGAACAGTATATAATTACATTAGTCTCAAGTTTGTGGGGCAGTTTGACAACCTTTTGTTGCAAAAAATTATAAAAGCTTTTTTAGTTTAGCACCATGCTCTTAATTTCATTAAACTGATATTTATTTTAATATTTATTATTTAATTTTACCGTAATCGAAATAATTATTTTTAATAATAAAAATTTTGTTTAACTGCAACGGAATAGTAACATAAAAATGAAGTATTTTGCAACATCATTAACAAAATTATTTTCAATTTCTTTCTTAACACACAGTAGTTATTCTCAAAGGACCAAAAAACATCTATGATAAAAAATAAATATTTTTTAAGCAACAAAATAAATCATTTTCTATCTTTTCACTCAAGTTCAGAATTCTAGCTTACTTCCATAATTAAGGCACTTTAAAAGGAATATGAAATGAAGGCAGATGCTTTGATTTTCAAACTACTTTTTAGGGTTCAGAGAGGAGGAATACGAAAAACGAAATGCATCAAAACATCATCTTGAACCATTAGCAATGTCAGACACATTAAGCATCCCCTGCTAAAAACAGGACTGTTTCATCTGCCATGGAGCTCCAGTCAAGCAGCGTTGATTAATGAGTTTATTATGCAACAATTATGTATATAAACACCGAGCATTGAATGCGAATACAAATCAGAGTGATTGTCCCGGTCGCGTATGAATTTGGCTCTTGAGCGTTTCAAGATCAAGGATCATGTCAAATTAATGAACTCGCTCCTGGCTCTTGACTCTGACACTTCATAAAGGTGTCGACGCAAGGGAAGATAAAGTCGGCGTCCCGCCAAGGACAATAACCGGACTGCTAATTTCATTTGCTTTATTTTATGCAGGGACAGGCCTCGTCTCCCAAGACATTCCCAGCCCGCATAAATCACACGGCGTTGAATTTGCATAACTCCTGCTGCAGATCTCTCAAGCAATTTGTTCTGCTTAAGAGGAAACTAGTTTGCATCCTGTCATGGGATACGTATACACTTAACATCCTTTTTTGGCCACCGATTCGCTGATGAAGGCATGTCAAAACGAAGGGCTCCCAAGTGTGAGTCGCTGCGATGCGGACTTCGATCTAGATTTTCCTTCATTCATCTGCCGGCTGCATTCCATCGCTCATCTGCTTGGCACTCCATTTGGAGCCGCGCCTTTTGGGGCACATATTTGGCC